CTACACCACTAAGTCCGTGAATATTTTTCTTTTCTTAGCAACCAAACAATGAACTTGTCCACGTGTACTTGCGTTGACAAACACGAATAAAGAATCATACGTTTTAAGATAGATAGATCATCAACCGGAAAAGAAAAATATACACACATATATATACTAATAAAAAAAAACGCACGGCCTCTCGCGCGGGTGACCTGTTTAAATCAATAGTTATATAAATTATTTAGACAAAAAAAAAAGACAAAAGGGGAAAAAGATATGAAGCAAAAGGTAGGGGAAAAAAAACCAAAAAGTTCAAAGAAAAAAGAGCCCAAAAAGTTTTAAAAGAAAAAGTTTCACTTCCTTGCGAAACTCTTTTGGAAACGTTTCCACGTAGTTCTCATGTGCGAAACATTTCTCAAATACTAATTGAGAGAATTTTTTTTTTTTTTTTTTTTCCCCGGATCTCCATTGACGGCAGATTCGCTAGATATTTTTTTCCCGAAAGTGGGACTTAAATTGGCACTAATTCATGGACCCACTATAAGGATCCATTTAGTTCTACTGTTTTTAATTCATAATTTTAATTTCGCTTTCTCACAAAAGAAAATTGTATAAAAAAGTTTCAGAATTTGACCACGTAAACTAAACAGACCATTATAATACCCTCGCCGTTGTTTTTCAAATTGTCATATTTCATATAAGAGTCTAACAGTTTTAAGTATATTTATCTAACTTGTGAAAACAGACAATACTGATAGAAACCCGAATCATAAAAAGAACCTTAATAAAAATAGGGTATCAACAATATTTACGAATCTTACAAAGACATGCAGATAAATGTCAAAAGTATTCGATAATATAAATCAAACTATTCTATGATATATAAAAATTCATCTAATCATGATTCGTGCTAATGATTCGAATCATGATTCGTGATTCACTATAGTATTTTTTTTCTCACAAAAAATACACGTAAATCGAGAATGATTATGAATTATAATTCTGAATTTATGAACCAAACCTCTTTTCTTAAAACGAAACTATATTTTGATGAACATATGGATCTAAATTAATTGCTATATGCCATCAGTTTTGTTGCCGACAAGCCGTGGGAGGAAAAAGAAAAATAACAAACAAAAAACTCATTTCTTGAAACTACAAGATTAGATAAATCAATTCAAAGCAATACAGTCCTCTTGCATTAGCATTTTTCTTTTCTTTTTTCTGATGGATGAAATAAGAAATCACCTGATGAAATTCTCCCGGTAAAATTGTGGCTAGAGAAATCGTGGTCAATCCTTCATCAAAATAATTTTCTCCTCATTCCGTCAAGAAAATGAAGAGAAATCCCGAGAAAACGAATCACAGAAATAAATGGGGGGGTGTTTGGAATCTGAGAAAATTCATTAATGATACACGTTGATCTGGAAATCCCTATTTATAGTAACTTTTTGTTTTGTTTTGTTTTTTTTTTTTTTTCCAGTTAAATGGAATGCCACCAGCCTAGGCTAATTTGTTTCATACGTAATGTTTGTTGATCTTTGTAATTAATTCCTGATTTTTGGCTTCAAACGCGCAAAGATAGGTAAAACAATGTGCCCAATAATTAAAGGTAGAGGATGAGAAACACGCGTTATTTAGCTTGAAAATATTACCACCATTTCCAATGATATTGGGTGGTGTTACGGTGTTATCTACATAATATATATGCACGGAACATTTTGTTGCCTTTCAAAAAAAATAAAAATAAAATAAAAAAAAAGAGATTAGCTATATCAATATTTATACATGGTTGTCGGCATTTTAGATATTGTTATTTTGTTATTCTGTTATAGTTTGGTTATTTAGTTTTAGCCTAAGGCTTGTATATAAAAGGTTAAGCATGTATCATTATCAGATTATTCAATACAGGAAAATTTATTTTTCCACTTTCTGGTTTTCCTTCGTAATATGGTATCAGAGCACGCAAATCTCTGCTGCTCGTTTCCATTTTGATTCTTCTGGATTTCCTTTGATTTCAGCTATTCTCTTGTTCGTGTTCCTTCCGTTCAAGATTTACTTCATCAATCATGGAGTCTCAAAATTCCGCTTCGACAAATTCATCCATTGGCAGATCCGCCATTGATGATCCTCTCAGTCCTTTCTTCCTTCATCATTCCGACAGTCCAGGTCTTATTCTTGTCTCGCAACAGCTCACCGGTGATAATTACGCTTCTTGGAGTCGTGCGATGACGATTGCCCTTTCCGTGAAGAACAAGCTCGGATTCATCAATGGATCTGTTCCACGACCTGACGGTACAGACTCGAATCTCCTCTTGGCTTGGATTCGCAATAATAATATTGTCATATCCTGGATCTTGAATTCGGTTTCGAAAGAAATCTCTGCGAGCATTCTATTTTCCGATTCTGCGTTTGAAATTTGGAATGATCTTCAAGATCGCTTCCAACAGAGCAATGGCCCTCGGATTTTTCAATTGCGACGAGAATTGATTAACCTAGTTCAGAATCAACAGTCTGTGAATGTCTATTTTACAAAATTGAAGGCTTTATGGGAGGAATTGTCTAATTTCAGACCTGCCTGTACTTGCGGCAAATGTTCTTGTGGAGGAGTTAAAGATTTGGTCAATTTCTTTCAGATGGAGTATGTGATGTCGTTTCTTATGGGTTTAAATGATTCTTTTGCCCATACTAAGGGCCAAATTCTTCTCTTAGATCCTCTTCCGCCTATCAACAAAGTCTTTTCTCTGGTGTCTCAAGAAGAACGCCAACGGAGCATTGATTCAGGGGGAGTTGATTCTGCTAGTCAGAATATGGCCTTTGCACTTCGAACTGCTCCTCCTAAGCGTTCTCCTTCTGATGCTCAGAACTATGGAAATGGCAGAGGTCAACGAAAAGAATGACCGTTTTGCACTCATTGCAATTTCCACGGTCACACAATTGAAAAGTGTTATAAGCTTCATGGCTTTCGACCTGGGTACAAACCGAAGCCAAAGTTTCCAACTACAAATGTGCATCAAGTTTCTGCTCATCCTGGTTCAGATGTTAACACTGGACAGAGTGGTGCACAAGTGGATGGTTTTCTCAAAACTCTGAATGGCGACCAGTATCAACATCTCATGACGATGTTTTCCACTCATCTCATATCCTCTGTCAAGACTTCTGATGCCCAGGATACTTCTTCAGTTTCATACACAGCAGGTATATGCTCTTCTGTATCTATGAATTCTGTTTTGTCCTCTGTGCACTTTTGGATAGTGGATTTCGGAGCTTCCAAACATATTTGTTCCAATGCCAACTTGTTTATCTCTTTGAAGCCAATACAGAACTCTTTTGTTACTTTCCCAAATAAGACTGTTATTCCTATTCGATTGTCTGGGGATGTTAAACTGGATTCTTTGCTTCTCAAAGATGTTCTATTTGTTCCTCAATTCCACTACAATCTGCTTTCTGTCAATGCTCTTACTGCCGATTCATCTCTTATCATTAGTTTTTTTCCTGGTTACTTCGTAATTCAGGATCCCACCAGCCAGAAGATGATTGTCAGGGGTGATCAATTTGCAGACTTATATGTTTTGGACGCCAGGAATTTGGCTGCTGGATGTTTAGCAGGTTCATCGAACATAAGGAATGTTTCAATTTCAGATTCTAGTGCTTTAGCAATTGTTAATAAGGTTTCTGCCACTGTTTGGCACAATAGACTTGGGCATCTTTCTTCTAGTGTTTTACACTCATTGAAATCTCAGCTAAAATGTGATTTTTCCAAGTGTAATCCCAATGACATTTGCTATGTTTGCCCTTTAGCTAAACAAAGACGATTGCCTTTCATCTCTAATAATCATATGTCTTCATCTCCCTTTGATTTGATTCATTGTGATGTATGGGGACCTTATCATACATCTGCCCATTTTGGTTATAGATACTTTTTGACTATTGTGGATGATTGCACTATATTTACCTGGATCTTTATGATGAGACAAAAATCTGATGTTGCTATAGCTATTCCTAAGTTTTTTACTATGGTTGACACTCAGTTTCATAGTAAAATCAAGAGTTTCCGGTCTGACAATGCAAAAGAGTTGGATTTCAATGCTTTTTTCAGTAATGAAGGGGTTTTACATCAATATTCATGTGTTGATACACCACAACAGAACTCAGTCGTTGAAAGAAAACATCAGCATCATTTGAATGTTGCTCGTGCCTTGTTCTTCCAGTCTCGAGTTCCAGAGAATTTTTTGAGTGAATGTGTACTTACAGCCACTTACTTAATCAATCGCACTCCTTTGCCACTTCTTGGACATAAATCTCCCTTTGAATTATTGTATAAAGATGCAGTTGAATACTCGTCTCTCAGAGTTTTTGGCTGCCTTGCATTTGCTTCCACTCTTTCTGCCCATCGTACCAAGTTTGATCCTCGGGCTCGCACTTGTGTTTTTGTTGGATATCCTTCTGGTGTAAAGGGGTACAAGCTCTATGATATTCAACTCAAGCAGTTTTTTGTCTCTAGAGATGTCGTTTTTCATGAATCCATCTTTCCATTTCATTCCGTGACTCATGCTTCTCAGGTGATAGATCCATTTCCTAATCTAGTTTTACCCTCTCCAGCCCCTGATTTTCCAGCCTCTACATCATTGGCTCCCAGCCTCTCCCGTCCTATCACTTCAAAGGGTCACTCCACACCGCCTATTAGGAGGTCTTCCCGCATCACTAGAGTACCATCCTATTTACAAGAGTATCACTGCAACCTCCTTCATTCTCAATCGCAAGTCCCTGGTTCCACTCCCTTATACCCTTTGTCCGACCATATTTCCTATGAGTCTCTTTATGCCTCACATAAAACCTTTGTCATGAGTGTTTCTTCCAACGTGGAGCCTCGGTTTTACCATCAGGGCGCGAGGCTATGCAACTTGAGCTTGATGCCATGGAATCAACTCACACTTGGTCCGTTGTTCCTCTTCCACCGGGTAAGCATTCTATTGGTTGTAAGTGGGTGTATAAGATCAAATACAGGTCGGATGGCTCTATCGAGCGATATAAAGCTCGTTTAGTTGCTAAAGGCTATAATCAGCAAGAGGGCATTGATTTCATTGACACCTTTTCGCCAGTTGCTAAGCTTGTTACTGTCAAGCTCCTCTTAGCTTTGGCTTCCAACCAAAAATGGCATTTAGCTCAATTGGATGTCAACAATGCCTTTTTAAATGGCGATTTAACCGAAGAGGTGTACATGGATCTTCCCCTTGGTTATGTTAAAAAGGGGGAGTCTTCGAATTCTACTGATAAGTTGGTTTGCAGGTTACATAAGTCCATATATGGCCTTAAACAGGCCTCCCGTCAATGGTACTCCAAGTTTTCCCTTACCTTGATTAATTTTGGTTTTACTCAATCTAAGTTTGACTATTCTCTTTTTACCAAAGGCTCGGGTACAACTTTTGTTGCTTTACTGGTGTATGTAGATGACATAGTCATCACGAGCCCTTCGCTTGATACTGTTCAACAGTTGAAGTCTTTTCTACACACGCAGTTCAAGCTGAAAGATCTTGGCAGTTTAAAGTACTTCCTTGGTCTTGAGATTGCTCGTTCCTCCTCTGGAATTGTTTTATCTCAGCGACATTACACATTACAACTTCTTGAAGACATTGGTTTTTTGGCTTCCAAACCAGTCTCCGTTCCCATGGATCCTAAGCTTCAACTTAATGCTACAGATGGCGATCTTCTTCCCGAAGCTTCTCAGTACATACGTCTTATAGGTAGGCTGCTTTACCTCACTTTATCCAGGCCGGGCATCTCTTATGCCGTTCATAAGCTCAGTCAGTTTATGGCTGCTCCTCGTCTGCCTCACCTGCAGGCTGTTCATTACCTTCTCAGATACCTTAAATCCAGGCCTGGGCAAGGTTTG